GTTTCTTGACACAGAGTTAGAAGGGGACCTAGAGGTCACCTACTCCAACCCCCTTGCTCAGTGTGGGAATTGGTCAGCTACAGCACCCTACTCTCCTTAAAGGAGTGCATGCCTTTAAAAAAATATTTAAAATTATTGGAAAAAAGCATTTACAGGAGAAATTCTTGTGTTGTTGTTGTTCAGTCACACACTCTTCGCGACCCCATGGACCAGATCACGCCAGGCCTTCCTGTCTTCCGCCATCCTCTGAAGTTGGCTCAATTTCATGTTTGTTGCATCTATAACACTTTCTAATAACCATCTCATCCTTTCTTGTGGGGATGTGCCTTTAAGAAAGGGCCCCAAAGCCCCCCCATAGCTATGGGCCTGGTGGGTACACAGAAGTTGCCCAGCAAATAATAACAGCCCTTTCCAGTTGTTACAGTCACACGTACCTAGAGCTGACTAGCCATACACAAAATGGGAGACCGTGCTACCTGCTATCCACCTGATAGGCACAGTTGCCTTGCTGTTTGAACAGGGGCAATGGATGTATTTATCGTGCACCTACAGCTTTGGTATACACATACTGACACCTGGATTTCCAGGGTTCATGTTCACATGTACCAGTGATGTACGTGCATGGTAAATACACATATTGACCCTGTTCACATAACAGAGCCACTGCAGAGGATCAGGGTAGTGCGCACTCCTGTTACATGCAGGAGTGGATAGATTCCTGTCATCAGCCTACCTCATTTTTATTGGCCTCACTGATGCTTTGCCTTATACATGTTCTCTGCCACTCTACCATCCCGTAGAAGTGCAAATAACATTGGAAGAAAGGTGTCCCTTTTGCACAACTTATAGCACAAAACAACAAAAACTGGAGGGAAGTGAAGACTTCTCATAGGAGGAGGAGGAGGAGAGGAGGAGGAGGAGATTGGATTTATACCCGGCCCTTCACTTGGAGTCTCAGAGCGGCTTACAAACTCCTTTTCCTTCCCCTCCCCACAACAGACACCCTGTGAGGTAGGTGGGCCCGAGAGAGAACTGCTCTTTCAAGGACAGCTCTTGTCAGAACAATTGACTGTGCACACACACCCATAGGCTCAAAGAAAGCTGTACAAGTCACCTGTTGTGATACTACACATAGAAGGTGCCTGCATAAGTCTTACACGTGAATGAGGTTTCAGTTACACAATTGTCAGCCTGGTGGAGAAGTGCACACACCTCCATTATTGTGAGCAGTAAGAAAACAACAACTTGAGAAGAAACAGACTCCATTGCAGATCTTGTAGTGATCACGTAGGAAACATCCATGCTTTGTTCTACATTGGTAAGGTAAAGGTAAAGGTTTCCCTTGCTCGAAAGCCGGTAGAATCCGACTCTAGGGCTGCGGTGCTCATCTCCGTTTCAAAGCCGAAGAGCCAGCGCTGTCAGAAAACGTTTCCGTGGCCATGTGGCCGGCATGACTAAACACCAAGGCGCACGGAACGCTGTTACCTTCCCACCGAAGTGGTACCTATTTATCTACTTGCAATTTCTTGCTTTCGAACTGCTAGGTTGGCAGGAGCTGGAACTAGAGACGGGAGCTCACTCCGTCACGCGGCACACTCGGGTCTCGAACTGCTGAACTACCGACCTTCCACAGCCTGCAGTTCAGCGTCTTAACCACTTGAGTCACCACAGCCAAATTTCCTGCCAAATGGACATTTGTTTCACAAAGAGAATGGCCAGCATCATCTGCACTTCAGTGAAGCATCTCGACACCAAGTTTTCTCACCTGCCCAGATGGCCCTCTTTGAGTAAGGTATTAGATTTCAATATTGACCACTCCTTTAGGTAACCTCCCACTCCTATAGGCAACCAATAGGATTAGTTTTGGGACGAACTAACAGGAAGGTGGGCCAGGAGGTTGGCACCGTCAACACCCATCTCCTGGATCTCCGATAAAAGAACCAGTCACATGGTCTCTCTCTCTCTCTACAAGCAACCCAGTATAAAATTTGCCAATTGCTGTCGATAAAGCAATTCGGCTAACATGAAGATGTGGGAAGTGGGGAGTCACATCTAGGGCTGCCAACCTCCAGGTGAGGTCTGGAGACCTTCCAGAATTACCACTGATCTCCAGCTGACAGACGTCAATTAACCTGGATAAAAATGGCAGCTTGGGAGGGTGGGCTCTGCGGCAGGACCCGGTACGGAGGTCCCTAACCTCCCCAGCCTCTGCCCCCGGATCTCCAGGAATTTCCCAAACTCAGAGTTGTCAACCACAGCTGCTGAATTTCTGCCTGTTAGGTGGCCCTAACAGAGGAGGCTGAAGTTGGTTCCTTATTCGCACTTCCTTATTCGTTACTTATTCGTGTAGTCATTCAGAAACACTAAGGAGAGTGAGTCAGAAAGCTCTGAACCCCTGAACCCCAAAATAAGGTCTGGACCACCACATATCATATACCCCCACATTCACAGGACCAATGCTCCCTCTAAGTTGTGGAGTCTTGTGAACAAAAATTCTACTTTGTGAGCTACTGGCATTAAAGTTCAACATGGCAAATGGGGTTCAATGTGGCCAAGTGCAAGGTGATGCACATTGGAGCCAAAAATCCTAACTATAAATACACGTTGATGGGGTCCGAACTGGCAGAGACTGATCAAGAGAGAGATCTTGGAGTTGTAGTAGATAACTCACTGAAAATGTCGAGACAGTGTTTGACTGCAATAAAGAAGGCCAATGCTATGCTGGGAATTATTGGGAAGGGTACTGAAAACAGATCAGCCAATATCATAATGCCCCTATATAAATCAATGGTGAGACGAGACCTCATTTGGAATACTGTGTGCAGTTCTGGTCACCACACCTTAAAAAGGATATTATAGCTTTGGAAAAAGTGCAGAAAAGGAGTTAGCTGCACAGGCCGGTGCAAGGAATGTACTTTACCTCTCCTCTCCTGCTATCGAAGCCTCCTTACAACTCCTGGCCACAGGTGTGTTTTTAAGTCGGGCAGGCTGAATGTCCTGCCAACTGCAGAGCTCAAGGGGCGCTTTACCAAAATTCTACATTCTGACCACTACTGTTCCTGCACATCAGAGACCACAGATCACCTCATCTTATTCTGTGATGGATGGCTAATACTCAGAGACGTTTGAAGAAGAAGAGAAGAGATTGGATTCCTACCCCGCCCTTCACTACCCAAAGGAGTCTCAGAGCGGCTGACAAACTCCTTTCCCTTCCCCTCCCCACAACAGACACCATGTGAGGTAGGTGGGGCTGAGAGAGCTCTTGACAGAAACTGCTCTTTTTCAAGAACAGCTCTGATAGAACTATGGCTTGCCCAAGGTCATCCAGCAGGTGCAAGTGGACGACTGGGGAATCAAACCCGGTTCTCCCAGATTAGAGTCCACACGCTTAACTACTACACCAAACTGGTTTGGATTACACCCTTCCTGAGAAAATAGCAGGTACATGTCAGAATTGGATAAACATACGGAGCAGAGGTACATCAGTGGCTATTAGCCACAAGGTATAGATAGGAACTCTGGGGCAAGTGATGCTCTGTATTCTTGGTGCTTGGGAGGGGGGGGCAACAATGGGAGGGCTTCTGGAGTTCTGGCCTCACTCGTGGACCTCCTGGGTTTCGGCCGCTGTTGGCCACAGGGTATTGGACTGGATGAGCCATTAGCCTGATCCAGCATGGCTTCTCTCTCTCACATGTTCTTAAATCTCACCTCCTCTCTTTTTTGCCAGCAGAAATCCAGAAATAACGCGTTCCATTGCCAAACTCTTAGCCCTTGTGGTCTCTTTTAAGCGACGACAGAGATGGGTTTTCGTTTCCCATGCTGTACTTTAATGTTTACCGCTTTGTATTTTATCTCGCATCTGTACTGACTTTGTACTGTACTGGCCTTCGGTCAGAGGAGCGTGATAATGAAGGAAGGCGACGGACTTAGTACCACTTGGACAAAGCGCGAACTTCTCTGCCACAAAACCTGGAAAAGGCATCCTAATTGGGGACAGTGCCTATGAGGATGTATGGATCTATCTGGTGGGGAAAGCGGGTACAGACCCTGCTTTAACTCTCATGGCACCCGCTCCCACAGACTCCAGTCCACAAGCTCCATGAAGCGATGGCACATTTATATATTCCCAGGCATTTGGCTTCAGGTCAAGTACATTTTGCTCTGTAGTCTGTCACTGACTGCTGTGAGACACTGGGCAACAGAAACCAAAGGTCTGATCCAATCAGACTGCTTGCCGGGATTGTGTATGACATGCAAGGAGCCATGGCTCAGTGGTAGAGCATCTGCTTGGCATGCAGGTCTCAGGTTCAGCCCCCAGTATCTCCAGTTAAAAGGATCTGGCAGTGGGTCATGTGAAAGACCTCTACCTGAGACCCTGGAGAGATGCTGCCAGTCTTAGACAGTAGAAGATTGGATTTATACCCCGCCCTTCGCTACCCAAAGGAGTCTCAGAGCGGCTTACAATCTCCTTTCCCTTCCCCTCCCCACGACAGACACCCTGTGAGGTAGGTGGGGCTGAGAGAACTCTTTCGAGAACTGCTCCTGAGAGAACAGCTCTGAAAGAATTTGTAACTGACCCAAGGTCACACCAGCAGCTGCATGTGGAGGAGTGGGGGAATCAAACCCGGTTCTCCCAGATTACAGCCTGCACTTGTAACCACTACACCAAACTGACTCTACTGATCTGTTTTTAGGTGGAGCCAGGGCGGAGAAGAGTGAGGTCTGCGGATGTCCCCTGGGTGGGGGAGTTCAAGAACAATCCTTGGGCTCCCAGGAAGACGCACTGCATGTCTTCAGGGTACCAAACCTCCTCACTCAGCTCTGGGGCACAGAGGCCTTCGATGCATTCCTGGAAAAACAGGGCGGAAAGCTCACGATACTGTAAAGCCAAACAACCTCCTAGGGCAACTTGAGAAATGCAGCTGTGAAGTCAGGGAGGAGCTGTGGCTCAGTGGTAGAGCACCTGCTTGGCACGCAGAAGGTCCTGGGTTCAATCCCCGGCATCTCCAGTTAAAAGGATCTGGCAGTGGGTCATGTGAAAGACCTCTGCCTGAGACCTTGGAGAGCCACTGCCCATCAGAGTAGACAAGAGCAACCTCGATGGACCGTGGGCCCGATTCAGTATAAGGCAGCTTCATGTGTGTTTTATGACGACAAAATTCCACTGGGTCGCACCACCTCTTCAAAGCAACCAGGTGTATTTAGATGGCCAGGGAGCCCAGGTACGATCTCATAAAACCACGCCAGTGTTCTCACAGGTAATGTGCAGATGACAAAGAGTCCCCTTGCGGAGCTACAAGAGCTGTGGGTGCTTCTGAGCCGAGGAATGTTCATTTTTTTTAAAAAAAATCATCCATCATTGGAAGGGGGGGGGAGAAAGAACGTGGATTATTTTTTCTTCCTGAGGCCGTTTCCAGGATCCATTTCGAGGGACATCGAATTATGAGATCCAATCTGGATCCCTGAAATGTCATGGCCGGAGATATGGATTCCACCACCTGGGGAAACGAGAGAGAGGAGAGAGGAAGAAGTTCTGTTCAGTCCCCTGAGCGGTGAGGAAAAGCAGGCCTCCCGGCAAAGTGCGTGGAGGAAAGAGTTACAGTGCTCTGTTTGCAGCATTCACCCTCACCACAGGTATCAGATTAGTTTAGCAGGACTAGGAATGCTGGGCCAGATCTGGCCGTCATTTCCGCCAACAGAAGAGATTCCTACCAACAGAAAGGATAGTATCTTGCCTTTCCCGTTGCTCTGTAACCTGAACCCCCCTCCAGTTCCTGCCAGTGTTCCCTCTAAGCTGAGTTAGTGTGAGCTAGCTCACAGACAGTTTTTTAGTCTCCGGCTCACAGATTTCTGTCTTAGCTCAGGAACGAGGGCTCCAGAGCAAACTAATTTACGCAGTAGCCAAATCGCTTGCTCACAACTTTAATGCCAGTGGCTCACAAAGCAGAATTTTTGCTCACAAGACTCCACAGCTTAGAGGGAACATTGGTTCCTGCTTCTGTGGTACAAGGGATGCATCTTCCCAGAATAGTTAAAGGAAGGCGTCAGAGACTTGCAACAGGAAAGGGGTGGACTGGCTATAATCAACCCCCTTCAATTAGCGGACATTCCTTTGCATGTCTGTAAGCCATTACAGAGATGAGTTTTAATTCGCCATGCTGTGTTTCAACGTTTACTGATTTGTCTTTTATCTTGTACGTATACTGACTTTGCTCAAAACCTGCTGTTCTACCCTTAGAAAACTAGGAAAGAAAGGAGTGTCTACCTCTTTATTTTGCTTCTTGGTTTTTTGCCCATTGGGAGGGGTTTTTTGGGGGGGGGTTAACATCAGGGAACATTCCAAAATATGATCCCCCTTGGTTTTCCACCTCCTGTCTGAAGGGGCACAGTACCGCCTTGGGGGCAATTATGCATCTAGCATTCACTCCACATTTTCTCAATGGGGAGGAAAAAGTGCAGCTCAAAAGCACATTCAAATACCTCGGGGCAAAGGCACCCCTGAACGGCCATCAAACGGCCGTAAATCTATGCAGAAGGGACCATAAAACCCGGTGATCAAAGAAAGCAAAAGCGGCATGCAATGCAGAGGGTATCATAACATCCAATGATCAAAGGAAGTGAAAGCCACATGCAATGAAGAGGGGAACTTCTGTATCCAACCTGGGTTTCGTAAAACCGCGGAGGGAAAAGCAATGCAGAATCGCCCTGGGTCCCTTTCACCTCATCCTCCCGCATGAGCAAACTAGGCTAAGGGTCAAAGTTCATGGGAAGCTGGGAGTTTTGTGATTGCAACTCTGAATGTTTAATCGGGACCTAGAAAGCAGCTGTGCCCCCCCCCCCAATCTAGATCAGGGCTATGGTGCTCGGCAAGAGGAAGTGAATCTCATCCATGCTGTTCCCTTAATGGAAATGCTCGCCTCCAGTATATTTAAGCCCCAACAGAAGAGAGAGAGAGAGAAGCACCCGTACGATGTCAAGTTTATTTATCTATTTGCCTCCTGGGGCTTCAAGCAGACAGAGAGGGGTCGCTTTTGATCTGGAAAATGGGATGGGACCCAACAGTCAGCTCCCTGTTCGCTAGTGCCCTGATCTATACTGCCCTCCTGTGCATGCTTTAGTGGATATCTAGGACCACATATTCATCTGCAGTTCAATACCCAGATTTTTGGTGCTTGAAGCACTGCACGCGTGTGGATGGAGCAGGCTGCTCTCAAGCATCGCGCCATCTTGTTCTTGATCACTGCCGGTTGGGTTGCTTCATTTTGGCCGTCCCAGGTACTCAATGCCCTGTTCTGGATGGCCCAGGCGAGCCAGAGCTCATCAGATCTCAGAAGCTAAGCAGGATCAGCCCTGGTTACTACTTGGGCGGGAGCAGGCCCGTAGAAACGGCAAAAACAGCTAGGCCTGCCCCACAAATAGCCATGCCAGAAATCTTATTTTTGCATGTTTCCCAAAGGCTCATGGGAATGCTTTTGAAAGACTCACCATGACCTAGGTGGTCTACAGCAGGACTGGGCTAGTGGAAAGGGGGGCTTGCTGGAGATAGGGTTGCCAAGTCAGAAACTTACCGCAGCGGGGGACTCCTGGCCGGCGTCTGGAGCGCGTGCACGCGCCGCATCCACGTCACCCGGAAGTGACGCGGGTACGCCGGGCACGCTGGGGGGCGGAGCCAGGACCATCCGAGGGAAAATCATAGAGTTTTCCCTCGGATAACTGTGGCCCCACCCCCAGCATGCCCGGCGTACACG